AATTACTCAATTAGAAAGTAGAAATTAACCTGTAACCTGGTGTCAACATGTAAGAGAAGCGAAGAGTGAAAGCTTATCCTAATTAACTACTATAACAATATATTTTAATAATATAATAATGAATAATAGAATTAAACAGTGCAGTTTGAAAATAAGTTTTCCTTTAATTGATGTATGCAAATTTATCTTAAATAATATATTAATTACAGGCTATATATTTAAAAGACAACTTTTATATTATGAAAATTATAACATGCCAAAAAAATAACAATTATTTAACTATATTTATTAACTTAATTGGGATAGAATTTATAGTTTAGGTTTAAAATATTATAAAAATAAATTTGTTTTAATTATATATATAAAAATGATGTAAAATATTTTTAAAAACCATTATAAACGAATTTATAAGAAAAATAATTCAAATAGACCTTCAACTAGTCTTCAATATATTCAATTGATACTTCTTACAAACACCTACTGTACTTTTTTAAAAAGCAAATATTTTTTTTTATTAAAATCATATTTTTAATAAAAAAATATAATTTAGGTCAATTTTTTAATTCTGAATTTTAGAAAACCTTGAAACTTTCACTTAAAATATTACGTGTACCTTTCTACATAACAACATTTATGTAAAAAGTTATTTTATTACATATAAAACTTAGAAAATAGAAAAGAAATGCTATAAATTATAATATTATATATGTCACATTTATTAAATTAGTATTGCCTAACTTCTGTTTTTTTTTCTTTATTTTGCTAGTCCCATAGTAAGATAATTTAATTTCATTGATTGAATTTTATTCAAATAATTTCGTCTCTGCATCTTTTTACCCACCAGTGGCCGAGTGGATAAAACCACTGAACACTACTACATGATCGAGGATTCGTCCCTCGCCAACGGGTTGGACACGTGGAGTTCTCTGGGTTTTCTTCACGTTTGTAACACCTAAATAGGGAGCAGTTTCTATAGAAAGTCATTCAAGAATATTCAAAAAAGTCGTTCGTATTCAACATCTACCTTTCGAGGCGATAAGACACTAACTCTTTGGGGGACACCGGTTTGAGTCTGATCGGCTCAATGATTTTTATGAGTGACATATTAAAAAGCCTAGTTATTTACGAACCGTTTTCTCTCATTGCAGGTCTGGCTAAATATATGAGAATCAAGATTAAAAGCTTTATTCTTGCCCTTGGTTTATTTAGCCAGGATCTTACATTATCAGAATCTTGCCCCTGTTGTGTTTAGTCAGGATCTTAAAAACCAGAATTTTGTCCCTCCTATATTAATTTATGTTTGTTTTTTAAAATATCTAACAAATTCAATTTTTTTTCTAGGCTTAAAAATGCAAACATGGTGAATTAGGTAAAAACATTAAAGTTTATTAAGTTTAAAATTTGAAATTAAATATAATCCGGATAACAAATAGTTAATTTAATATGTTTATATACCAGTGAATAAATCATTCAAATTATTTCAATTAACCTTAATTAAACTTTTATTATATTGCAATTATAGGTTTACCATTGACTTTTCTGCACCTATTTTTTTTTAATCAGGAAAGAAATTCCATAGGACTCTACTTCATCAAACTTTTTCACTAAATATTTACGGATGGAATTGCATATAATGCGCAGTTGTTGGTGCGAATTTTAGCGCATTTTACTAAAATTAATACTAGAAAAGGCTTCTGAAAACAGGCAAGTTTAAATATCTTCAAATTTAAACACTAGTCCATTAATATATACTTAAAGTATCTAGCAGTTTGTAGTGATTCAGGAGATAATGTTGAGTTATTATTACGTGACCTCGGCTAGTCCAGCAAAACTGTTAATCTGGCAAGGCTTTTGGTACCAAGCGTGCCGAAAAAACGATTATCTACTGATATAATCAGTAGATAACATTCAACTGTAACGATATTGTTGGATTTACATATTTTCTGAATATAGGCTAGCTATAAGTATATTTAACTCAAATGGTCTATCTATAAATTTTATGCGGTTCATGAATTGATTGAATGGATCCGTAACACAAAGAATCTAATTATAATTAGCCTTAGTTGTTTTCACTATTAGGACAAGCGTAAAATACTTCAAACTAGCATACAAATAATGGAAACTGATGTCTCGATTCGAATTGCTCATAGAAAATTGGGAAGAAGGGATATATTCGACTCAAGATGCTTAAAGATAATTGATCATTCATCTGACTATTACTGAAAAAATAAAATAAATTTGAATAATATGTCCTTTGTGAGTACTAATTATTTATTGCGCAAAAACTCTCACTATAACTTGGCTTCCTCGAGAACGGATCACCCTCATAAATATGAAAAAGAAAATTCTTCAGCTTTCCTGAGTTACCAAATGTATGATTTTTCATTAACGTCAAACCACGTAAATTTCACGTAAATTGTGTGTACTCGCTACAGTATATATAATGTTTGAAGTTTTTCAGTTTAACATCACACTCGATTTAGTACTAATTTTAGACACAAACGAATGGTGAATGGTAATAAAAATAATTTTTTAATTAATTTATGTTTTGAAAAAGACCTTTCTGCAGTTGAAACTGTCAAAGGTGTTGTAAGGAACAAGGTTATGCAGTCGGAACTTCAGAAAATCTTGAGAAAAATAAGTAATTCAACACAAAGTACTGATGTTTTTAATTTAAAAAGGACGCAGATCGTTATCAATTTCTATTTCATATTTCTAACCGGAAAGGAACGTTATTGAGTGAGAAATCTAGAATATATATCTCCTTTATATTTGTTTTTCAGTTCTTTTGCTCTCTCAAATACATTTTTATGATTTGTTAAAACTATATTTACAGATACAAATTCTTTAGATCGACATAATTATTTTTCAACTGACTACTTTATGTCTTCTGATTATGTCTAGGCTTCTACAGAATACTCGTATGTTTACTTTAAAAATTATTTTCATTATTACTAAACTTCTGGTCTCCATACTGCTTTTTAGCATGTTCTTTCCATCTAATAACCGTGCAATAACTTCACTGTTGTGTCAAGCACCATTTACTCATTTTAATTCTTTAGAACGAGTTGATACACTTCGAGAAAGAGTTAATAAATGAAACCAAATTAACACTGTTAACAGTGTTAATTTGGTTTCATTTATTAACTCTTTAGACTTTTCCAGTAATAGCTCAATAATTTCATTTTAAGTGTGGTGATTCAGATAATGGACATCATGTTTTCTTTTTAATAATTATTACGAAAAAAATATACAGTACCAGTTATTTAAGAACTTAATTCTTTCAATTACATTGTTACTCATTTAGACATGTTAAAAAGAACAGCTTTGAACTTCAAGTAACTAATTGGTTCACAGTAAACATAACTGCAGAGAAATTCTGCAGAATAGCACCATTTTCGTGGTAATAACATACCAGCAATAACGCTCTAAAAAGCAGCAGCTATTTTTATTATTTCGAGAAAATGGCCCTTTGGGCCTACATGACTCAAAGGTTCATTTTGGATGATTGGTTCGACATATCAAACATTTTAACCTTTCTTTCAGTATTAATGAAAAACTGATTACTATGTTTAAAGAAAATGATTATGGTGAATTCGAACCTTCCACTAAGTGTTGCTGCCGCTTACATTTTCATTCATGAAATTGCATTTTCAAAACTAACAGCTCGCGTTTTGATTTCTACCCCTTCAATTTTCTCATCATAAGTAATTTTTTAATCAAGAAATGCTCCAAAGTCTGAATAATTTTGATGTCCTTTGTTCTTTCTTTTTTTTCTGGTAGATGATTGTGGGTTTGCGCCTCACCAACCCACGTGGAGTTTTTCGGAATTTCTTCACATGTCTAAATAGGAAACAGTTTCAATGGAACACCTCCTTGACAGATTCCTTACTCTCCAATTCAATCCAATCTTCTGCCTTTTCAGTTTCCTCTTTAAACGCTACTTTTATGCTTGTGGTATTAATTTTAACTATAATTGAGTAACAATAACTTTCAGAAAATGTACAATGTAGTACACTTTCCTTGTACACTATGACTATAATTATTATGCAAACATAGCATGGTAACAACACTATCGAATCTATTGAATGTTAAATTAACCAGAAATTAGTTGAGCAACGGAGATTCATTGGCCTCTAACAGTTGGCACTGAGATCACTGCCAAATTATAAGACATGTTATCAAATAAAACTGATTTTAGAACTAGATTTACAAAAAGAAAGCGCAAAAATAACTATATATATATTTTTAAACTATTTTCAATTACTTAATTTATTTAAAAAGATCATAAATAATAGACCTTATTAATGAAAATACTAAAATTTTTACAAAAATTTCGAATACATCGCTATGTACTGTACTTCATATAGTGGTTTACTAAACTTTTATTTAAAAATGTATTACATTTTCTGAATATTAAGAAAATAATTTAATGGAAATTTGTAATATTTCTTTCTATAACATCAAATTAATAAATATCTTATATTTTACAAAATTAAAAAAAAAACCAAACCTATGGCAGATAAAACATCTAAAGATAAGTCAGGCCCTAAGTAAAACTTGTGATTATGGCCCCCAAAAAATTAATAACTTTGTTATACTTGCTACTTGACCCTCTTGATGAAGCCGAGCGTGTTCTTATGTTGACATTTTTCTTTATTTGTTTATATATAAATTTACAAATCAAGAGTCTATCAGATAGGAATATGAATTTCCTGTAGACCCTATTTATAAACAGTCCCATAAATAGGAGAGACCCTATTTATGGGACTGTATATAGCTGCTCTTCTCTATTGAATTTGAATTAAAGTTAATTCATTTTATATTTAAAACTTCTGTATTAAATTTAACTGATATGTAGACTGATTAAAACTAGAGTATACCTACTCAGAGCAATCTGCAGAGAGAATCAACGGGAGAAACGTCATCATAATTGGCACGTACACTTACCAGATCATGAGGAATACAAATTTCAATTAAAAACTAGTTCAAATACTTACCACGGGAGAAAAATGGCACTGAGAGCGAGGGAAGAAAGTGAAATTTGTGTAAAGCCTTGTTCTTTATATCTAACCTCTTTTTTGTACCGCATTATTCGTAGGCTTCTGAGTATGGTTCATTTCTCAATCAGAAACCAATCTGCAGTAATTTTTTCCGCTCACAGCGACATATTTTCTCCTATCGACGAGTTTTGACAACTTTTTTATTACCAAAATCTCTTACANTTTATTCACAGAAGGTCGCTGGATTATAAATATCCGACAAGTAGTAATATAGAAGGTAATCCAGTATTTAGATATTAAATTATTCAAGGATTATCGCAGCTTATATGATAAATTTGAAGATTATTATTGATAATTTTACATAAAAAGTGAATGTTATTCTCACCTGAATTCTTGAGATCTTTCTCTAAGATGCTTTTAAAATGATCAGATATTAATATTGTTTGATTCAATTCATCTAGAATTATGTGGCTATGTTATGAGTATGATTTTGAAACAATAATTAAAAAAAAATATATTTTTATATTTTTTTCTTTCTCCAGGTTAAGGTGACTGCATAACTAGTTCAGTTATACAGCTGTACCATTAATTTTTAAAATAAAAACTAATTTATGCTGTTGTTTTTGTGTATTTCTTACTCCAAGTGAATTCAAAATGATAGAATTCGATTGATTCAATTGGTTCATACTTTCTGTTAGCCTACTAAAAGGGCTTTTTTACCTTCAACTATATACAATTACTCAATTAGAAAGTAGAAATTAACCTGTAACCTGGTGTCAACATGTAAGAGAAGCGAAGAGTGAAAGCTTATCCTAATTAACTACTATAACAATATATTTTAATAATATAATAATGAATAATAGAATTAAACAGTGCAGTTTGAAAATAAGTTTTCCTTTAATTGATGTATGCAAATTTATCTTAAATAATATATTAATTACAGGCTATATATTTAAAAGACAACTTTTATATTATGAAAATTATAACATGCCAAAAAAATAACAATTATTTAACTATATTTATTAACTTAATTGGGATAGAATTTATAGTTTAGGTTTAAAATATTATAAAAATAAATTTGTTTTAATTATATATATAAAAATGATGTAAAATATTTTTAAAAACCATTATAAACGAATTTATAAGAAAAATAGTTCAAATAGACCTTCAACTAGTCTTCAATATATTCAATTGATACTTCTTACAAACACCTACTGTACTTTTTTAAAAAGCAAATATTTTTTTTTATTAAAATCATATTTTTAATAAAAAAATATAATTTAGGTCAATTTTTTAATTCTGAATTTTAGAAAACCTTGAAACTTTCACTTAAAATATTACGTGTACCTTTCTACATAACAACATTTATGTAAAAAGTTATTTTATTACATATAAAACTTAGAAAATAGAAAAGAAATGCTATAAATTATAATATTATATATGTCACATTTATTAAATTAGTATTGCCTAACTTCTGTTTTTTTTTTTTCTTTATTTTGCTAGTCCCATAGTAAGATAATTTAATTTCATTGATTGAATTTTATTCAAATAATTTCGTCTCTGCATCTTTTTACCCACCAGTGGCCGAGTGGATAAAACCACTGAACACTACTACATGATCGAGGATTCGTCCCTCGCCAACGGGTTGGACACGTGGAGTTCTCTGGGTTTTCTTCACGTTTGTAACACCTAAATAGGGAGCAGTTTCTATAGAAAGTCATTCAAGAATATTCAAAAAAGTCGTTCGTATTCAACATCTACCTTTCGAGGCGATAAGACACTAACTCTTTGGGGGACACCGGTTTGAGTCTGATCGGCTCAATGATTTTTATGAGTGACATATTAAAAAGCCTAGTTATTTACGAACCGTTTTCTCTCATTGCAGGTCTGGCTAAATATATGAGAGTCAAGATTAAAAGCTTTATTCTTGCCCTTGGTTTATTTAGCCAGGATCTTAAATCATCAGAATCTTGCCCCTGTTGTGTTTAGTCAGGATCTTAAAAACCAGAATTTTGTCCCTCCTATATTAATTTATGTTTGTTTTTTAAAATATCTAACAAATTCAATTTTTTTTCTAGGCTTAAAAATGCAAACATGGTGAATTAGGTAAAAACATTAAAGTTTATTAAGTTTAAAATTTGAAATTAAATATAATCCGGATAACAAATAGTTAATTTAATATGTTTATATACCAGTGAATAAATCATTCAAATTATTTCAATTAACCTTAATTAAACTTTTATTATATTGCAATTATAGGTTTACCATTGACTTTTCTGCACCTATTTTTTTTTAATCAGGAAAGAAATTCCATAGGACTCTACTTCATCAAACTTTTTCACTAAATATTTACGGATGGAATTGCATATAATGCGCAGTTGTTGGTGCGAATTTTAGCGCATTTTACTAAAATTAATACTAGAAAAGGCTTCTGAAAACAGGCAAGTTTAAATATCTTCAAATTTAAACACTAGTCCATTAATATATACTTAAAGTATCTAGCAGTTTGTAGTGATTCAGGAGATAATGTTGAGTTATTATTACGTGACCTCGGCTAGTCCAGCAAAACTGTTAATCTGGCAAGGCTTTTGGTACCAAGCGTGCCGAAAAAACGATTATCTACTGATATAATCAGTAGATAACATTCAACTGTAACGATATTGTTGGATTTACATATTTTCTGAATATAGGCTAGCTATAAGTATATTTAACTCAAATGGTCTATCTATAAATTTTATGCGGTTCATGAATTGATTGAATGGATCCGTAACACAAAGAATCTAATTATAATTAGCCTTAGTTGTTTTCACTATTAGGACAAGCGTAAAATACTTCAAACTAGCATACAAATAATGGAAACTGATGTCTCGATTCGAATTGCTCATAGAAAATTGGGAAGAAGGGATATATTCGACTCAAGATGCTTAAAGATAATTGATCATTCATCTGACTATTACTGAAAAAATAAAATAAATTTGAATAATATGTCCTTTGTGAGTACTAATTATTTATTGCGCAAAAACTCTCACTATAACTTGGCTTCCTCGAGAACGGATCACCCTCATAAATATGAAAAAGAAAATTCTTCAGCTTTCCTGAGTTACCAAATGTATGATTTTTCATTAACGTCAAACCACGTAAATTTCACGTAAATTGTGTGTACTCGCTACAGTATATATAATGTTTGAAGTTTTTCAGTTTAACATCACACTCGATTTAGTACTAATTTTAGACACAAACGAATGGTGAATGGTAATAAAAATAATTTTTTAATTAATTTATGTTTTGAAAAAGACCTTTCTGCAGTTGAAACTGTCAAAGGTGTTGTAAGGAACAAGGTTATGCAGTCGGAACTTCAGAAAATCTTGAGAAAAATAAGTAATTCAACACAAAGTACTGATGTTTTTAATTTAAAAAGGACGCAGATCGTTATCAATTTCTATTTCATATTTCTAACCGGAAAGGAACGTTATTGAGTGAGAAATCTAGAATATATATCTCCTTTATATTTGTTTTTCAGTTCTTTTGCTCTCTCAAATACATTTTTATGATTTGTTAAAACTATATTTACAGATACAAATTCTTTAGATCGACATAATTATTTTTCAACTGACTACTTTATGTCTTCTGATTATGTCTAGGCTTCTACAGAATACTCGTATGTTTACTTTAAAAATTATTTTCATTATTACTAAACTTCTGGTCTCCATACTGCTTTTTAGCATGTTCTTTCCATCTAATAACCGTGCAATAACTTCACTGTTGTGTCAAGCACCATTTACTCATTTTAATTCTTTAGAACGAGTTGATACACTTCGAGAAAGAGTTAATAAATGAAACCAAATTAACACTGTTAACAGTGTTAATTTGGTTTCATTTATTAACTCTTTAGACTTTTCCAGTAATAGCTCAATAATTTCATTTTAAGTGTGGTGATTCAGATAATGGACATCATGTTTTCTTTTTAATAATTATTACGAAAAAAATATACAGTACCAGTTATTTAAGAACTTAATTCTTTCAATTACATTGTTACTCATTTAGACATGTTAAAAAGAACAGCTTTGAACTTCAAGTAACTAATTGGTTCACAGTAAACATAACTGCAGAGAAATTCTGCAGAATAGCACCATTTTCGTGGTAATAACATACCAGCAATAACGCTCTAAAAAGCAGCAGCTATTTTTATTATTTCGAGAAAATGGCCCTTTGGGCCTACATGACTCAAAGGTTCATTTTGGATGATTGGTTCGACATATCAAACATTTTAACCTTTCTTTCAGTATTAATGAAAAACTGATTACTATGTTTAAAGAAAATGATTATGGTGAATTCGAACCTTCCACTAAGTGTTGCTGCCGCTTACATTTTCATTCATGAAATTGCATTTTCAAAACTAACAGCTCGCGTTTTGATTTCTACCCCTTCAATTTTCTCATCATAAGTAATTTTTTAAACAAGAAATGCTCCAAAGTCTGAATAATTTTGATGTCCTTTGTTCTTTCTTTTTTTTCTGGTAGATGATTGTGGGTTTGCGCCTCACCAACCCACGTGGAGTTTTTCGGAATTTCTTCACATGTCTAAATAGGAAACAGTTTCAATGGAATACCTCCTTGACAGATTCCTTACTCTCCAATTCAATCCAATCTTCTGCCTTTTCAGTTTCCTCTTTAAACGCTACTTTTATGCTTGTGGTATTAATTTTAACTATAATTGAGTAACAATAACTTTCAGAAAATGTACAATGTAGTACACTTTCCTTGTACACTATGACTATAATTATTATGCAAACATAGCATGGTAACAACACTATCGAATCTATTGAATGTTAAATTAACCAGAAATTAGTTGAGCAACGGAGATTCATTGGCCTCTAACAGTTGGCACTGAGATCACTGCCAAATTATAAGACATGTTATCAAATAAAACTGATTTTAGAACTAGATTTACAAAAAGAAAGCGCAAAAATAACTATATATATATTTTTAAACTATTTTCAATTACTTAATTTATTTAAAAAGATCATAAATAATAGACCTTATTAATGAAAATACTAAAATTTTTACAAAAATTTCGAATACATCGCTATGTACTGTACTTCATATAGTGGTTTACTAAACTTTTATTTAAAAATGTATTACATTTTCTGAATATTAAGAAAATAATTTAATGGAAATTTGTAATATTTCTTTCTATAACATCAAATTAATAAATATCTTATATTTTACAAAATTAAAAAAAAAACCAAACCTATGGCAGATAAAACATCTAAAGATAAGTCAGGCCCTAAGTAAAACTTGTGATTATGGCCCCCAAAAAATTAATAACTTTGTTATACTTGCTACTTGACCCTCTTGATGAAGCCGAGCGTGTTCTTATGTTGACATTTTTCTTTATTTGTTTATATATAAATTTACAAATCAAGAGTCTANTAACTTCAACTTTATTCCAAAACAGAATAATTTTAAGATTTCTTTAGTTTTCAACCATTAATTATTCCGAAGAAATAAAAGGAATGAATATAAACGATAAATATTTTTAAAATTACTTTTACTTTATACAATATTTTTATTCCTCTATAAATTTGATTTATTATGGAGTTTGTTTCTATAATGTTAAGAATGTTATTTCCATAATAATTCCCTTCTGTTTCATTGTATTAATTCATCAATAATGTGGTAATAATTTGTAATAAATAATTAAAATCAATCTATTTGAAATAATTACTTAATATCTTTATTAATTTTAAGAAGAGCTTACCTTCTACCAATCGATACAAGTCTACAGGATCATGAAAATACAAAGGATCTATAACAGGATGCTCGTAGGGATTCTTAGATCGAAGAGCTACATACCCACGACTCTTAGGACGTAACAGAATAGGCAACATAGTTATCATCTCGGATCCTTCATAGGGTTTATATACCTTATCCCACACCTGAAATTAGATGAAAATAATTAATTTATTCTGGAAGATTTAATTTTTCGTACCAGATAAGGAAAGTGTGAATGAATGTTTTATCTTCACGCATTCAAATTAAAAATATAAAATTTTGATATTTAGAATGAATTTATAATGAACATAAAAATCTTAGAGGTGGAAAATATTTTTCTATTTTTACTTCTAAGATAAAATATTTAATCTTTGGATAAATTCTTGTAAGAATTTGTTTAAAATATAGGTTCAATTATAAGTTCAAATGCGGTTTTAATAGAAAAATTTTTAAACTTCTTTCTTACTTCAAGACTTTTTTTATTTATGAAAGTTTCAATTCGAAATTATAAATTGTGAATGATGCGGAAAATACACTGAAAATTTGCAACATCAAGAAAGACGTAAGTTATTCATGTGAATTTGTTCCATTATAATTTATATTCGGCATAAAACTGATTAAATTTACAAAACTGTATAGAGCCGTAGTGGCACAAAATTCAATATTTTATGAATCTACTATGAGCGGAGATATTTATTCTATACGCCGAAGTATTGAAGAAAAGAGACCCTGAGTTTGCTATTGAGGAAATTTTTGTTCCTGTTTATATTCTGTTTATGACTGGTAGATGGGCCCGATGCCGTGCTACCATTTTATATTTAATTGGAGATAATTCTGGAAAAAATTCAGGACAGAGAAGAAACTGGCTCACGTGGCGGAAGTCCTGGACATTATTTACGTGTTGACAAACATTATCATGCTGAAAGAGACAGTCAGAAATCGTGTGACGGAATGAACTAAAACAGACTGTTAAGATGCCTGAAATGCATATGAAGCAAGACCGTAAATTGAATGTTATGGCACCCCAACCATAAAGTAGGCGTAGGGCCAGTATGACTCTCTATAATGCACCCCTCTAAGTATTGTTCACCACAATGTCGCCGAACAAAGATGTGGCCATCATGATACATTGAGAATCATTAGAAAGTACTACCAATCAGCCCTCAAACATTAATAAATATATTTTAAAAGTATTTTACAGAATATACGTATTTTCTCACGTATCCTTATACTGGATTCTTATATCTAAATTTTTCATACCTCATCAGTTACATCCGTTATTTTTCTAATAGTTCCATGTTCCTCATCTGAAATGGGTCCACTACTAGTAAAATGAATTTCTATGTCCGGATAATCATCAGTCTTGTTGACGTAAGATGTGTGAACAAAAGCTAAACCTTCCACAGATCCCAAAATGGTTAGAGGACCTAATTAAAAAATTGATAAAATTATACTTAAATTGTGTAATATGTAAATTATTTTAGAAAAAGAATATTTTCTCAGGAACTCACCACTTCCTTCTAGTAAAAATCTCTTTATATTAGGCAATGTTAAAGTTCTGGAAGCTCTGACAGTGAGAGGTTCATTAATTGTAAAATGTATTCCCGTTCCACCCACGTGATCCTGTAGGTTATATCCTACAGGCAAATTGGAGATTACTGGAATCTATTGGGTCAGAATTATTAGATTTTGAATTTAATTTTAAATGAGTTTTAAAAGATACACAAAAGTTTACATACGCCAAATTTTGATAATTGTTCCTTTGGACCAATTCCTGATAGAAGCAACAATTGAGGAGAGTTGATGGTGCCTGCAGAGACGATAATTTCTCTTCTAGCCAAAACAATGTGACTGCGATTAAAATAGTCAAAGTGAATCCCTCGAGCGTGTTTAAATTCATCGAAGAGAATCTAAAAAATCATTTAAAATTATTTAATTGTAATTAAATATATATATTGTTGATGATAACAAATTATTTTTACTTTGGTGACAAATGCCGAATGGAGGATTTTAACATTGGGACGTTTGATGATTGGTAACAAAAATGCTTTTCCTGTACTGCATCTAGCACCTCGTCGAATTGTTCCTTGAGGAATTGAAAAGCCTAAAGAAAATATTTTAAAAAGTAATGATTATTCGAAAATGGAAATTAAATTTTCAATTAAGAATCATTCAACTCAGAGTACTTGCCTGACATAATAGGTCCATTATGATCGACATTGTGGTATCCTAAATACTTTCCTGCTTCTACGAAGTCGTAAGCTAGTGTGGTCTGATATTTAGGAGATTCAATAGTGAGTTCTCCCTCGCTATTATGAAAACCTAAAATTAAAGAGTAGAACATTAGAAAAGTCATAGTATTTAAATAAATTTGTCTGTGTTAAGATAAGTTTCCGAAATAATTACCATTAGCTAAAAATCTAGGATCTTTATTTCCTTCAGATTTTAAGAAATAAGGATAGACATTTTCCCAGCTCCAATCGACCAATCCTTTCTTGTGGGCCCAATTGTTGAAATCTCTTTTGTTGCCTCGTACGTACAACATATAATTCAATACACTACTACCCCCCAATACTTTTCCTCTTGGCCAAGGCATTCTCTATAAATTGAAAAATATCATTTTGAATTCATTCTATCTTCTCAAGTTAAATTAAAAAATCAAAATATACGCACTCTGTCCTTTATTCCAAAACAAGAAAGCGATTGAGGTTCTATTTTATACTGCCAATCATTCTTTTCCTTTTGTAAATGGGATGCCATAAGTGGTACTTCTGACTGAAGATCTGGAAGACCTCCTGCTTCTACTAGTAAAACTGTAGCTGTAGGATCTTCAGATAAACGATTAGCTAGAACACATCCTGCCGAACCCGCACCAACTGCAAATATATAAAAATAGAGCAGTTAAAATACTATTCTTTTATTATATTTAATCTACTCATTAAAATCTTTCATTGAGAAATGTATTAAGAAGTCGTTTTACACATTCATCGTGGCTTCTTTTATGACAGTAATGAAATAAGATTGACGATGACCCGAATTAAGTTATCGACGGAAATTTCTTCAAAATTTCATTAAATTCAATCTTGCATTCCCAGATTAGCAGAGATTTTCATCAATAGCAGACAGCCCACCAGTGGCCGAGTGGATAAAACAACTGAATACTAAAGTTGGTCACTGGTTTAGTCCTCACCAACGGGTTGGTCACGTGGAAACTGTCCCCTAAATAAAGGACACTTTCCGTATAGAAAACCCTCTTGGGTTGTAAACCTCTTGGCAGATTGCCCAAAGTTATGTTGTCTTGTCCAGCACAAATGCATCTATATGCTGAGTTTCTACAACAAGAATATACCACGTAAATTTTTTGTTGTAGAAACTCAGTATACACATGTGTAATTATTCTATATTATACTTAACTACATAAAATACGATATAAAATTATCTTTATTCAGTTAATAACTGCTCTTAAGTAAATATTTAACGTTATAAATTATAATAGTGTCGTGTGAAAAAAGAATCTTCTATTAAATTTTATAGGTAGACAAAAGGAAGACAGACAAAAAATAGACAGTGAGAGAGTTGAAATTTGAAGTAAATTTAGCGTAACGTCTGAAAATCTAACGATTTTAATTATAAAATTGAGAAGATACGATTCGGGTCAGTAGAAAAATATGTAATATTATATATATTTCTTTGAATTTTCCTATTTATTTTATTTGTTATCCTGTACAAAAAGTGAAATTAATTAAAGCAGAAACAAAGAAATATAAAATTCGTTCAAATTTACTGTAGAACACAGATAAAATTTCTTATTATTATGCCAATTAGCAAATTATTTTAAAATTATGTTAAGAATTTATATAATTCTATGTTATTATGTTTACTTAAATGTCAAGAATGTAAAATAGTTAACAACTTAATTCTTTTTAAAATAAATTATATAAAGCTATCAGATGTAAACTTTCCATGTTTATGAATTTGAAAAAATAAAAAATAAAAAGTGATTTTAATTAATTAATTAATTAAGATTATGTAGAAAATTATTTTGAAATTTATTCATTTAATTTTTGTAGAATGTAATAGTTAGTAAACATCTTAAAATTATCGGTAAAAAGTTATATTTAATAGATATTGAATGAATAATAAGCATGGTTTTATTGGCACAATAATGGGGTTTTACTGACAAAACACCATAATTTTACTGATATCATAGCACGGTTTTACGTATACTATAGGCTTTACTGGTCCAACACATTCCAATAGTAAAGAATAAAACTCTAAAACTCCATCTCCGTTATTTTTCCCAAATCTTTTCATTCATATTCAAAAGCCAATCAAATATAAAGACAGCAACTAGAACTGATATTGAGAACTCAAAGTAGAACGTCTAAACTTTGTACCAATGTGGCATAGCCACTAGCGCTATGAATGAAGAGCATATTCTTAGATATTGTATATACGTTTAAGTGCGTTTTTCACATTAAAATCGTTTTCTTGTAATTATTTGATTGTTTCTTTATTTATTAACAAAGATTGGGGAGCCAGGAATTCCTGGTCCCTCGCTGTATAATGGCATTTAAAATATTAACAATAAACAGATACTGCGGTCAAAATCAACATTTTCTACGGAATTCGAACCAGAATCCTCTTCGGTGCTTAAGGATTTCTTTATTAAGCCACTATTATTAATCTCACATATATTTTACTGGTGCTTTCTTCAGATTTGAGAAACTTTTTGTCCTTAATTTCTTTGTCGTAGCAGTAAAAAGAATTAGAATATATAAAAAATCTTCCTTTACTGCCACGATAAAAAAATTAAAGACAAAAAGTTTCTCAGATCTGAAGAAAGCACCAGTAAAATATATGTGAGATTAATAATAAATATGGCTTTTATTAAGCAAATTATAAATATAGCTTTTTGATAAAGTTTAATGTAATTTTATACGGTAAACCTGTGTAAACCGGAATCGCTTCGTTCCGGAATTTTTCCCGTTTAGGCGGGTTTCCGTTTTATTCAGGTTCCGTTTCAGACAAGTTTTGTCTATAGTATTAAAATTAGAAAATAGATAAATAAGTATTTGTCTATTTTCTAGTGCACTTTCTATGGGAAACTGGTCTATATTTAAATGTTTGAAAACCCAGAAAACTGCACGTGGCCAGCCCATTATCTTGCCCACCAGTGGCCAAGTGGATAAAATCTGTGAAAACTGGTAGTTAGTCGTGAAATTTTCAAGATTTCCTTCACGTGTGTAACATCTAATAGGGGCCAGTTTTCCATGAAAGCCCTCCAGAAGGCGTTCCCCTCGACAGATCGTCCATGTGTCTTATTGCCTTAACTAAATAAATCAAACCAAACTAGCTCATTAGTCAGGTGCAAACCCACGATCAATCCACAAAATTTACTATAGACCTATTTTCCTGCATTTACTTATAAAAATAGGAAAAATTATAGAAATTATATAAACTACTTTTTCCAAGATTTTAATAAAAAGTTCATTGCCTACGATGTCGAATAGGATAAAGATATTAAAATCTGCATACCAGTCTAAAAATTTTTTTCTCGTCAAATTAACGTAAAGATAAATACAAAAGTTCGATGCCTTCTTTAATAACTTGAAGTAAAAACAAGGAAACAACACACACAAAAATTAATTCAACTTTTTAATAAACTATTTTTCAAATATTAAATTATTTAAAAACTGATAAACCGAGATAAATTAAATAATTTTGCTGCAATAATTTAATAGCAATTAAGTAATTGCTACTAAATTATTGCAGCAAACTTATTGTGATATCGTCACAAATCCGGGCTAAAATTTTAATTATATTAAAACAAATCACGTGACTCTAGATGTTCTAATACAATTAATAGGGGCCGCAGGCTCCTAAGTTTTCCATATCTGGTCTCGATTTCCATCTATCTGACTCCGTTCTCGAGATTAAGAAAGGACAGACAAACGGACAAACATTAATTTTTAACACAGTTTGGTCATTTTAAGTAGCTTTTTTGACCTCAGAATTTATTTTCATCGAAATATTTTGATAGAAAAATAGTTTCATACACATACAAACACACATATATATATATAAACATATGTATACAATAAATCTGCACTTTTTACTACTTGACTGGTTCCTGAGGTCGTCCTATTTCTCACAATGTCAATGTCTTAAATTGAAATTATATTCTTGGAAAATTTGACTACATAATAACTCTGACATGGCCTAAAAATATATTTCGTACACGCAAAACCGAAAATGCACACCAGTCGTAAAGTAGGCGTTCTACAAGAAATCGGTGGTAGAACGGAGATATACTATAAAGCATGTTATAAAACGTTGAGAATAATTCATTTCACGTTTAAGAAGGTCAACATAAACAGCGAAGTCCCAGTAAACGCGTGCTTATGAACGAACTGTTCCCGAATTAACTTATATTTCGTGAAAAGCGTATTTTTCATCTGATGAGTATGAAGGATTTAGGTTTATATCAATAACAACCCTTTAAAAAGATAGAAGAAGACTTCAATTCGGTACAAAAACTGGCAGAAGTTTTGGTAAAGTAGACCTACATCAATTAGGTATGTGTGAAAACAAGCAGGGGACATGTTAAACAATTTTTGTAACATTTAAGATATTTTTTTAGAAATTCGGCGTTTATAATATATTTTATTTATAATTAATGCACAGATAATGATTTCCGGTTGCAGAAATGGATTTAGGAGGTACTGTACATTTGGGGTTTTTCTCCGGCTACTTCAGGTAATAAAAAATTCTGTATTGCTTCTTTTCTGAATCCCCACTAAAGATTTCTGAATGCACTATTGTTCGAATGGCAGTAAAAGTGTCAGCCTAACTCTTGGAATCAGAAAAAATCTCTATAATTTTTCGGGGTAATCTCTTCAAGATATTTCGAGGCCCGTTCTCACGCCATTGTGGGCCTGGCAAAACTGACGAGGGGCATGATTACATCCCTCTTAGTGCTCATCCCGTTTAGTGCAAAAGACGTGAGGCCCTCTTAGTGCTCACAGGAGAATGTCAAAAATAAAAATAATGCAAAATTCATTGTATTTTCACTGCATTCGAAATAAAACCAGTTAAAACTACTTGTGATTCGAGAACGATTCGTTCTCAATCACTCATTTACTAGGACATTTAACTCATCTTGACCCTCATAAGACGTGGTATGAATGTTCCCAACCTTTGTAAAACTGTATATTATACGTTTAGAATAAAAAATAGTAATCGTCAACAGAAAAAACTTAAGTTTTCCTGTTAAATCCTCTCGAAAAAATAAAATATTCCTTAAAATTCAAATAAAAATCAATGCAGCACGACAACAAGAAAAATTAAATAAATTGTAGTCATAATTAAAATATTTTCTCTTCATATTATTCTATAAATACATTAAAATCTTTAAAACGTCAATTATCTTAAATCAAATTCTAATTTATTGTCATTATCAGCATGTTATCTCTTAAAATAACCTAACAATGAATTATATTTATAAATTAAAACTTGTATATTCATTAAATAAAAAAACGGCATTTTATAATGACAACAGGAAAAGTTTATAGTTTATTTACCAGTTAAAACTGTTTAAAATTCAAATAAATCACTCACTTAAACTGGATTTAAAATAATTTCACGTATTAATCTAATTATAATCTCTTTAAAAATAGTTTATACATTTACTTTAAACTTAAATGAGCTTCTCGATGTGAATTTTTCTAGGTCCATATTATTAACAGATTTAAATCAAATCATTATTTAAGATTTAATAAATATATAATGACACCTTTCTTGATAACGATTTGTTTCTAGTTGTATTAATAAATATATCCTATCATTAATAATAAATTAAGCCCAATATAGGACG